TTGGGCCCAAAGGCCCAAGGGATGTGGGGCAGGGGGTGGCTGGACTTTTCTCCAGCCCCACCCCCTGGCTAGCCCACCTGGGTCAAAAGACCACCTGGGTGTGGGGGCTGCGGCATCACCTCGCAGATACCGGGAGCAGGGTGGGGCTGTCCAGAGGGGGGCAGCTCTGGAAAAAGGGGTGTGCACTGGGCTTTCTCTCCTGAGAAGCTCCCACGGGGTTGGGGCAGACACCCCCCACATCTACACACACCAGGGGTCTTTGCATTCCCTGCCATGGTTATCCCAGAGCTGAGACCCCCATCTCTGAAGCGTATGGGTCTGATGGGCTCTAACTTCCCATTCCCAACACAGAGCAAGCCCCGCTGGAAGACTTTCAACCACAGGAGACACCTGCATTTCCGCTCCTTGCTGGGGGCTTGGGGGTGGGGGTGGGGCAGACTAGGAGCCGGAAGTCATCCCCGGCCCCATGGCTGGGCCCAGGCCAGCCGCCCTCACTTAGCTCCCGCTGGCCTTCAGAGGTCCCCCTACTGTTGGCTACACCTCTCCTGGTCTCTCCACCCTCAGGGACTCTGGGAGGCACCAGCAAAGGAGGGGGGAGGGAAGGAGGAGGCAGCCGGCACCGGGGTGCCGGCTCAGCCAGGAGGGTGGGGGTGGGGCATCCCCATCCTTTCCGTGTCCTGGGGGGTCACAGGACCCCACAGTCCGGAAGCCGCTCTGCCCAGCCCAGCCCAGCCCCGCCTCGACCCGGTCCATTTCCCAACCTCGCTGAGCGCTGCCCCAATCCAGCCAATGCCCTGTGAAGACCACAGGGACCAGGTCTGAGGCAGGCTGCGCGCGAGCTGGCAGGGCCTCCTCTGCCGCCCCCTGGCTCCTAGGGCCAGCCCCCCACCTATGGCTTTGGTGCTGAGCCGGAGACCGGAGCAGGGAAGGAGCGGAGAAGACAGAAAAGGGCGGGGAGGGGAGGGCAAGGGGGTTCTGCGGCTCAGTTTGTGGCAAAGAAGGTGGTTTTTTTTTTTTTTTTCTTCCCCTTTTTCTTATGTAAAAAGTGCACGGAAGCCCTACAGCCTCCTCGCAGCGGTCAGCAGTGTCTCCTGTGGGGCGCAGGGGGCAGGGGTCCCAGGCCTGGCGCCCAGCTCGCGGCTGCAGATGACCCCGTATTGCTTAGGAACCTGTGTTTCGGTTTAAATACCAGACAGTAAAAACAGAGGGCCGCCCGCCTTCTGCCGAATCATCGCCAGAACGAACAGCTTAAATAAATAAAAAAATCGGAATATTTACTTCTCGATAAAAACCGCGGTCAGACCCTCTGCCTTCTCGGTGCTCTGGAATCAGCCACCGCGCCGCTGCAGGGGGCCCGCCGCGGGCCAGGTCAGCGGTCCCCGCCGCTGTCAGGACACCTCGATGACCTCCACGCTGCCGGAGAAGCTGGCCTGCTTGCCCAGGGCGGCCAGCTCCTCGCCGCGCGCGCGCCCCTCCACGATTCCTTCCTCGAACTCCATCTGGCAGCTTCGGCGCTTGTGGAAGATTGACAGCCTTGGAAACTCTGGAGCAGTTCCATTCTGTCCTCTAGGGGCGCTGTGAGTTGGAATGGGTTTGGTTTTGGTTTGAATTTATGGACAAGGGCCTTAGGGCACTGCTCCCTAGGGGTGTGGCTGAGGGCCTGTGCCTCACTGTTCTGCTCAGGAGCTGGCAGAGCCCACAAGGGGCAGCTCCCAGACGCCCACCCAGCCTGGAATCCAGGCCTCCCCCAGCACTCCCTGCCATCCTGCCCCCACCCCTGGGAGTTGCTCAGGCTTGGCCCAGGGCAATGGGTCTGCACAGGATTCCCAGGCCCAAGTCACCAGCCCCCTGGTCCCAGCCCGCCTCAAGGGATGTGCCTTGAACCTCCAGCAACCCTTCCCCTCCAGGCCCCCACACCTCCCACCAGCCTGAAGAAAGAGGCCCAGGAGTCTGGGAAAAACATCCATGTTAGGATTTATTACAACACATTGTTTCCAAATACAAAAGGAGGGACCAGGACGAGTGGAAGGTGTGGCCTCGCTGGGGAGGGGTCTGAGGCAGGAGTGGGCAGGAAGCAGCCAACCCGTGGAGTGGGAGTCTGAGAGGGTCCTGTCTCCTGCAGCTCAGCTAACCAGCAAACTACAGAAGGGCCAAGCCCGTTCTGGGGTGAGCCCCCACGCTGGCAGGGACAGAGGGACGTGCAGAGGCGTGGCCCTGCCACCTGGGACAGTGGGTGGACCGAGACCCGGGAGGGAGGGGCTCTGCCCCCTCCCCCTGCATATGAAGGGGACAGGGGTGGAGACAGGACCATGTCAATGCCTGGAGGTAAGAGCCAGGGCAGATGGGGGCTGGGGAGGCCCCCATGCCTCAGAGGGAGCCATGGCTGGCCTGAGGGGAAGGGAAGGGAGGAAGTGGGGCCAGGACCTGCCTCCTGGGTTTCAGGGGCCCAACCAGCAGCCCCACACCACTGTCTCCAGGACAGCAAGGGAGGGGGGGCGAGGAGGGGGACCAGTGCATCCTCCACCCCCAGGGTCACCTCAGAAACCCAACGCGACAGACAGACAGGGGCACGTTTACATAATCAATAATAATAATTAACCAATAATAATAAATACTTCAGCCTCTAATCCGTAGATTGCAATACAACAGTGACAGGTTATCTTCTTGGGGACAGGGTGGGGGTCAGGGGACAGGGGCAGGACTGTGCTTGGAGGAGGACAGGGACACGGGGCTGAAGCTCAAAAGAACAGAGGAGAAACAGCAGGACAGGCAGCTGAGCAGGCCGCCCCCGCCCTGCTCCAGGACTGTCCTGCCGGCTACCCCTAGTGCACAGCCCCTGGTCCTGAGGCGACCAGTCCCCACTGCCAAACTAGGGCATCTGAGGGGTGGGGGAGCCAGCCACTCCTGACCCCGAA